CTGCTCGCTTGGCTGATTTGCTGGCCAACTAGCTGGCCGGCTGGCCGGCTGGCTGGCTGACTGGCTTGGCAAGAATTGCATTTTTCTTTACACCTCAAGCGCTGCAATAATAATACTATGTACATATGTATGTCACACGTCGAACACAAACATACATACAACATAAAAAATAAATATAAGAAAAAAAATACATGCAACATGTAAAAAACATACGACAAAACGGCTGCAGAGCAGAGCCGGACCCGGGCCCAAGCCGACCACCGGTTGCCTGTCGCCTTTTAATACCCTTTAGCCAGCCAAATCGCTAAACAGGGTATCTCAAGCACATACTATATATATTTGAAGACAGACTGCCAGCTGAAGTCTATTATAAGTCTTAGAAACAAACTAATCATAACTAACTAACTAAATGGTATATAAAATCGTGTATGCAAAAAAGCTTTGGCATGCTGCAGAGCTGAGGCCAGGGTATCTACTCGTCGAGCAGTCTTGACTAGAGCATTCTTAGTTGTTTTTACCTGTTTTTAAAAGACACTTTAGTTTATTGAACTTTTGTGCTGCATACTTTGAGCCTCAGCTGAGCTCAGCTCGGCTCACCTCGCTGACTTCACACGCTCGTGCGTTGGCGTTGCCGTTGCCGTTGCCGTTGACGCTGAAGTTGGCGCTGGCGCTGGTGGCGTTGCTTGGTTAGCTTCAGCCCCCAGCAGCAGCAGCAGTAGCAGCAGCAGCAGCCCCCTCCATTTTATAGCCAACCAACACTATTGCGAATGCCTAGCCTCGTTCGCAGCTCATTTCAAAAAAATGGCCTTCAAAAAGATAATTCAAGCGCTTAAATTGTATCTACACTCTTTGCAAAGTTTATTCAACTCAGCCGCTGCGCTTCGATGCTGCCGGCGGGCCAAGATGCTGGCTCCCCGGCTCAGATTTAATTGGGGGAGGGGTGGTTGCATTGCGTATCATAAAGAAGCCCTTGCTCTGGGGAAACTTTCGCATACGCCAATGCGGGCGATAACAATTAAAACACGTCCCTAGCATTGCCTCGGAGCCAATCACAAAAAAAAAAAAAAAAAAAAAAAAAAAACTGAAGGCAACTGACAAAACCTTTAGAAAGCGCCGTTTCGCAGACTCAGGTAATATATACATAATGGGACTCAAACCGAAAGTAACGGCAAATGTGATGATTATTGCCGTAACTCAGGAAATCATAAATCAAAATATATCGCTTGACCCATTTGCCAAAAGACCTATATATACCTATATTATGCTCATGTAATGCGATCCTCAGCTAAGCTTGTTGCTTTCTTTTTTTTCAAAAACAACAAATATACTTTTTAGGTTAATCTTTTATCTGATTGCCTATTGCACATCCTGTTAGCCCGAAGACCCAAAAGAGCCGCATCGGCACAGGCATTCCCGAACATCTTTCAAGACCCATAAAAACCGAACTTTATGTGCTTTGTAGATCGTAAATAATTTTTATGATTACTTTAACAAAAGTGTTTAATTTTTGTGCATATCAAAATTTTAGTCAAAACATCAGATTTTGATCCAGCGTCTATTTCTCACTATATTTTCTTTATTTTCTGCCCATTTTGTTAGCGAATACTAAGATAGAAGTTGGATAATGTCATATAGATCGCTAAAACTTTATATAAAAGTTAACATAATAGATGGATCAAAGTATTAGAAAACAGTATATATATACACGACATGCAACTGGGATACAAAAGAGACTGTGATCTTCATGATCAGATTGTGTGAGATCTGTTCTTAACATGGCTTTGGTATGCGGGCGTCGGTCTAGGAAGCAGCAAGGCGCTGGTTCAAATCTAGCAATTTTACTGTTGCTAGTTTATTTTCATTCCATTTTTAACGTTATGCATTTTACCCGAGCAGCGCTGGGTAATTTCCACCAGTTAGCTAATGCATGTGCGCGCAACTAGCTCACAGATCAACCTGTACGTACGCCTAGGTGTCAAATACTGATATATCGCGGTTACGGTACACACACGCACACACACATATCAACTAATAAATAAGTATATTTACACATTCGAAAATCGGAGACAAAAGGGATTATTTAATTTAATTTTAATTGGAGAAAGTGCAAAGCCCCTCCATAAAAAAAGCACACGCACATACCAAAAAAAAAAAAAAAAATGCGTGCCCAAAACCAAATTAAAAAAAAAAAAAAAAAAAACCCGAAAAAACCTACAGCAAAAAATAAAGTCCAAAATCGAAAAAATGCTTAATCTAACCACATTACAAACGCATTTGGATGATAAATTATGAATGTTGACACCGATCAGCGACAACATGCGACAAGAGACAACAAACAACAAACAACAGCAAACACTTGAGCGCATTCGCTGGCAACCAGTTTCGAATTGAAAACAGAAAATAAATTAATTTAATGGCCGCAATGCCAACGAAATGCAAATAAAATAAATTAATATAAAATCAAAATCAAAATCAAAATCGAAAAAAATTATAAATTTCTACTTATGCAAAGCAGAAATATTGCTCAAAGTGGGCACCGCTGTTGGCGACCCTAAAAGCATGTCACAATATCTGCCCAAAAATAATAATAATAATAAAAAAAAAAAAAAAACACTAATCAAAAGATAAAAAAAAAGTAAACAGAAGGCGCAGCCGCAGTCGCATTCGAACGCCAGTTACATTAATGTATATATATATATATATATAGTTTTTTTTTAGTTTTTTTCTTGCTCTTTGATAGGCATTTTTATTATGCAAAACATGGAAAATACTGAATTTTTAATCGATCGGCCAACTATAACTTAATTTCGATTTGGCTTAAATACAGTGCGGACGTTGATCTTCGACAGCGACTGTTGCCGGGCTCTTCTTTTTCTTTTTTTTTTTTTTTTGGGAGGGGGGGCGTTCGCGTGCGCTATGTATTATGAATATTGGGTATTCGATACTGGCCGATATTGGATATATTGTCGATTGGGCGTTTGGGTGATTTGGGCACCGCATTAAACAATATGCGACAATCAAATGGAATTCATGAGCATTCAATGAATTTTTGTTTCGTACCACACAAAAGGGCTCAACTCTCTTTGGTTTCATTATTGTACAGAAAAAAAAATTGGGTTTACGTAAGGCCCTTGAACGTGCAGCGCTCGTTAACTTACAGAAAGAAAAAAAAAAACTTTAAAAAAGCGGTGAAATTTTTTTTTTCTCCTCAACTGATTGTTTCTGTCCGCGTGGCCGAATGTGTGCGCTTTTTATTTACCTGTAACGACATCAATACTTTTGTCAGTCAGTCACTTAGTCACATAATAGCCGGGGCCCAGAGCCAACAGCTGATTGCCATCGATTGTCATCGCGGCTTGGCATAACCAGCGGAACACTGAACGCTGAACCTTGAACATCACAAGAGGCCCGAGACGAGAGCACTGAGCCCAGAGCCCAGATACCCGAAACCCACAAGCCGAGCCTCAAGACGCCGGGAGCCGAACTGAGAATTACGTTTATGTAAATAGGAGCGTATGCCACACGCACACACACACACACACACACACACATAACTCCGTGTGTTATGCAACTTTTGCACTTATTTAAGTTTCGAATTTAAGCATTCGAAGTTAAGCACTCTAGATATGTATGTATAATGGGCCAGATGGTTATGGAATATGCGACAACGAGTACGAGTCAATATACAAAATAGTTTGTTGAATAACTTTCAGCGTTCATTATGCACTGTTATTGAGTTTTACAGTTGTTACATTTACATTTCCGACGATACCAACACGATATTCACAATATTTGAAACCACTGAGAAGCGTGAAAATAGACCAGAGTATTCCTTAAAGTCGGTGAACAACGGTTGGCTCTTGTCTTAAATTTATGATTAATTAAAATGTCAATCTTTATATTTAAGGTGTCTCACCTTAAATGATTAACAAAGTTTATATTATTTAAAAACTGAAAATAGTTTTATTCGAAACCGAGCAAGACGGGTACTTCTAGCAGCCACTGTACTATTTATTGTTAGTCCACATGTCCAAATAGTTCATTTCTGCTAATAATAAACACATCCATTAATCTAGCTTTATTTTATAGCATACTTTTGAGTTAGTCACTTGGAAAAATAAGCTACAGGGTATGTGCAAGGCGCATATGCATGTTCGCAATCTTGTATGACATATTATATGTATATTCTATTGAATGACAGTTGGGTATACTCTGTATAATACTTAATATTTTCGAATGCTACATTTTAACATGCGTTGAGCATAGATTGCTTAAATATTTAACAGAATATTGCATATACGATAGCTAGCATGACGTTAACCATCGCATGTCCGAATGGTTCTCAACACGAATGCACGAGTACTCACAAGTAGTACTAGACAAATTGTTGCAAAGGAATTTAGTATAATGTTTGTTGAGCGAAGAATATAAAAATATTCACCAGAATGTAGGCAAACGATTGCTAAAATAACTATAACTATCGCGCGTCAGAATAGTTCTCAACACGAATGCACAAGTACTCGTTGGAGTATCACTAAAATGAATTGTTCTTTGAATGAATTGTGTCATTCGTGAGTGCAAGAGTGAATGAATGCGCGAATACTTTGAGACGATGTCAACAAGTGTCCGTCGACTTTTTGTCGTTTTTTTTAATCAGATTCACTTATCGCGTGGTCAGCTAAACTGAATGTTCGTCTTCAACGTGCTTACTGTAAGCTGAGAAGGCACAACAAGCACACACAATCACACACGCACACACACAATTGGTATATAGTTGTGTCTGTGTGTGAATGCGAATGTCGATTCGAGTATTTTGTGAAATCCTACAGGCCCCTGGTTTCCCACCAGTTCCGATCACGTGGTACACCCACTGGTGGTGCCAGCTAAGCCCCTCCCCACCCCCCTCGCCAGTCACTTATCACTCAAAGAACGCTCAAATTACCAGCTCGACGATGCGCAGTTTCAATATTTGACGTTGCGGCGCAAACAAGCCAGCTTTTTGACCAACTTTTGTCAGACTCGTACGAGTGAGTGCACTCGTACAAGCACCCGGTACGGTTATGTGGGTACTCGCACTTGAAATCGCATTCATGCTGCTGATAAGCATCGCCAGCGTTAAACCAGGCGCCAAAATAAACTAAATAAATGAATACAACAAAGAAATGGGAAGAAATTTTTTTCAAAAATGATAAATGATCAACAACAGCAAAAATGCAAAGAAACATAAAATGACAAAAAGAACAGGCGACCAGTGAAATTATAAACATTTGTTTATTTATTGCGTGCCTTAATTTTGATTATTATCGAACGTGTTGCAAATCGGTCGTGCGACTTTCGTTTCGTATTCCGTATATTCTCATTTAGTCGACGGTTCTTTCTTCTCCTCCTCTTTCATTTTTGGTCTCGTGCGAACACTTCAGGATGTTATCTGTGCAATGATATGGATCTTATACCCTGTAAGACTGAGTGAAATGGCTATAAAAAAGCAGTGCGATTGTAAAATATTGCCGATTCTAATAAAAACAATGAGCACAAAGACAACCACATCTGGTCTCGTATACTCTATCTTGCAGTTCAAATGGGAGACCTTAAAAAAGAGTAAAAAGTCCATAGATCCCAGATTCTTTACAGCACAACGAGACCAGAGTCAACCGGTGAGTAATGAGTAAAAGTCTATAGAAAAGTGTGTGTGCATATCAAATAACATACATCCCAGATTCTATTCAGGTAGTGTATAGACTCTTGTCTACTCTATTCCACTCTTGCCTCCAAATGGGAAACAACAAATTAATTACAGCGAAATTCTCTTAAAATATCTCATTGTTAGAAGTCTTTTTTGTAATGGGGCGCGACTCTAAAAATCGTCTTTGCAACATTCTCAACATGAAAGGTATCGTATTACCAGTGGCAGCTTTGAAGATACACAAGAATGAAAGAAAAAAAAGGCAGCTAGCAAAATATTTATTGTATTTTCATGCGAGCAACATAAATGAATTGAGTTTTGTGTGTTCCAAATTAAGAGTTTCCATTATCATTCAGCTTTTTCCTAATTGTTTGCTTTAATCAAATGATCAAATATAATTTGGCAGAGTCTATATTTAAATTAAAATTGATATATTTAAGCTTTCGTATAGAAATTGATATGGAATTACGCAAGCAATTCAATTCAATTGAAAACTTAATTGCAGTCCAATTGAAATAATAAGTAGTTTATATTATTTATCTATGATATGTATTAGCAAAAGCAAATGTTTCAATTGATTAATGCGTTTCATTCTTTTTGGTATATTTAAATACAAAATGTTAACCTAACTATGACCATGTCGGTTTGATAATGATGGGTCCAAGTAGGCAAAGACAACGAATTGATAAATTGATGACGATTGCGGAGAAAGTCTCGCGCGCAACCGATACGTGCCCCTCCAGCCACGACTGAGTCGACTCTATGGACGACGACATCGACATCGACAACTCCAACGGCGATGACGGACCCAGCGGCTCCAGCGACCAGCTGAGAGCTCAGACCTGAGAACTGTGAAAAGTTCAATAAACTTGTAAGTTTGCCAAAAAAAAAAAAAAAAAAACCCAAAAAAAGTAAATAAAACCAAAAACCCAAAAGCAAACTTTAGCAGCGATGCCGGCAGCAACGGCCGCGTCGACAGCAACAGCAGCAACAGCCAGCAGCAGCAGCAGCAGCAGCAACAAGCAACGTGCAACGTTTGTGAAAGCAACCAAAACGCCAAATTGTAAGTGCGTTTACGTTTGCATTACGATGACATCGGCGCCGTCATCGTCATCGTCCATCGATGCCGATGCCATGCAAACGTGGCCGCAACAGCGGCAGCGGCAGCCCCGGCAGAGGCCAACATACAAAGAGAGACAGGCAATGCTGCCGGCGCTAGCGTTGACGCTGCTGCGGCTCTTGTTGCTGCTGTTGCTGTTGTTGCTGTTGTTGCTGCTGTTGCTGTTGCCATCGCGGCCGCAGTCAGCGTCTGCGCGGCAGCGTTCGTTGACTTAACGCACTACTAACTCAGTGCCACAGTCACCGACTTTTGAAATGTGTGTTGTAAACACACACACAAGCACACACAAGCACACACAAGCACGCACACAGGCACACACAGGCGCTCAAGTGCCGCTTCGCTGTGTGTATGTTTCATTTTTCACCATTATTTATGCTAATGATAATATTCACGTTGTTGCTTTTGCTTTTGCTTCGGTTTTGCCTCTGTTTTCTTGTATTTTTTTTTTTTTTTATTTATTGCCACACAAATACAGGCACACCCTGCTACATAGATAGTCTTAGATGATATATGTATGTAAAATTTGGAGCATTTTTTTTTCTTTGATGTGTATATCGCAGCTTCTTACTTATTAATTGATATAATTAGCGCGTTAATTTATAAAATACATACAAAACTAATTGGTTGGTCAGTTTGTCATTTGTTTGCAGCACGGCAACACTTGCAATTATGCCGAAAATTTAGCTAAAGCAACAGCAACAACGGCAACTGCAACTGCGAAGGCAACTGCAACTACAACTATTGCAATTGCTTGCTGTTGCGCGTAGAGGCTGCATACGGAAGTCTTCCATGGGCCACATAAGAAGCAGCTGCTGCTGCTAAATTGTTGGTATGGAAGTGAAAGCATCTCCGAAAGTTGTAAAATATGAATGTGCTTGGGATCAGCAGCAACAGCAACAGCAACAGTCGCAACAACAGCAACAACAGCAGCAACAGCACCAGCAGCAGCAGCAGTAGCCCGTGTTCGTTGTCGCGCTGTGCTCGGCCATAACCGAATTTTGCTACGCTACACAGTCACAGCAACTGACTCTAACTAACTAACTAACAGTGCAACCTACTTTAACTAACGTCAATTTAGTTGCACATAGAATTATCATAAATTAAATATTTGCGCGTGTTCTAAACTTTACCTTACTTTACTTTGGTTTATGTTGTTTTTTTTTTTAAGTTCAAAGTTTTGATTATAAAAAAAAACTCAATGGTTATTCCAACTATTAAACTTAATTTCATGTAAGAGTTCCATATATTAAAAAAAGTTTTATTTTTTAATGCATTTAGGAATGGATCAAGGCCAGTTTTTTATGTGCATTGATTCTTTTATAGGATAGTAAAAAAAATAAATTATTATAAAAAAAAAACCAAGTGAAAACGTTGAAGAGTTCTTCTTGATTTTTAATAAATGACAAATTTTAACAGTTATGCAAAGGTTTTCAAGTACAGAAAATAAAGATTTCTGATCATTGCACAGACGCAAAGCATATTTTTGGTTTGATGTTCAAGCTCACTAATTGGGATCTGCCTCCTTAAATGAAGTGGATTTAGCACTAAAAGTACTTTCTGCAAGATTCTTGTTCCCGAAAAACATATATAGAAAATACTATTAAATTATATATATGTACACAGAATATTAATGCTGGTGGGAACCTTTTTATTTTTAAAATCCTTAAGGCCTCGAGCCAGCAAAATAAGGATTTGATTTGGATTCTGGATATGTATCAGATATACACATTATGTACATAAACGTATGTTTCAGATTTATAGGATTTATCTGCAGATAATTGTGAGCTCATATATATAAGTCTAAGTCAACGCATGTATTATTAACAAGTCAAGTAAACAGAAGGAAGAGAAATTTATACAACTTTACTTACTCATTTTTTCAGGCACTGCTCTTTCTACGACTTCAAATCAAATGCCATTTAAATGATGTAACAAGACCCCCCTCACGAATTCTTGCACCAACATAAGCCAAAAATGAAAAATATATATATATATCTATTTATAAGTATTAACTGCAAATGGCAGGGCCAGTTGCCCCGGGTCTATATGCATAGTATTAACAATTGGTTGTATAGAGATCGGCGTTAAAGAAAGCCCCGGCCATAGGCCTTTACAAATTACAAATGAGTCAAAAGTTGGCGCTGGCCAAGAAGGCAACGGTAAATTTGGCCAAACAACCGTAATACGGCAAGCAAACAGCCAACAGACAACCGACAATGGACAACCGACAACCGACAACCGACAACCGACACCCGACAACAAACAACGTACAGAAAAAGCGACGCGGCTCGACAACTTTTTAATTGCCCTCAAAAGCAACTCCAAAAACCTAAGAAGCAACACACTCGAGACGCTCGCATGGGATATCGCCATCGCCACCACCATCGCCATCGCCATCGCATCGCCATTGTCATCATCATCATCATTTGACTTTAAATGCCAGCCCAGAATCGTAGACGGGCCCTCAAAGCAGGCGGCAGCATCAACGGCGGCAACAACGACAACGACAACGCAACAGCTCAAATAGGCCGTAAAATTTCTTTTTGCTGCTGCAGATTCTGCGCGCAACAGCAACAGCAACAACAACAACAGCAACAGCAACACTTTACAAGCTGTCTGAGTTTTTGTTTAATTTTAACGTCTTTTCTCATACTTTAGAAAGTTTTCATATTTTTTTTCCATACACATATATATACATATATATATATATGCTTTTTTTGCATTGAATTATTCTGCCTAAAAACAAACTATTTAAAACAAAAAAACAAAAAACAAAAGTCCTGAAAGTAAAAGTAATAAATAGAATATACGCGAGGCGACACGTGCCGACAACAGCAGCAGCAGCAGCGGCAGCAGCGTTTTTTATTACATTTTTTATTCGAATTTGAATACAAGTAGGTGAAATGTCATTGAACTCGCAACCGCAACAGCAACAGCAACGGCGAACGACTAGAAGCCAGCAGCAATGACGCCGACGGCGGCGCAGCAAATAGCAGCAGCAGCAGCATAAGCGGCAGCATGAGCGGCAGCATCAGCAGCAGCAGCATCAGCGGCAACAGCTCAATGAATGTTGTCGCTGGCATTTGCTGGCACGACAACAGCAACAGCTCGAATTGCACATGTCCTGGAAACTGTTGCTGCTGCCACTAACAGGCAGTCAGCAATATGTTGCACTTGATTTGGCATACATTAAAAGCATTTTATCAGCAGCAGCTGCTGCAATGGCATTTGCTGTTGCAGCTGCAACAGCTGCCAGCCGAGTGCTACACACACGTCTCTATAACATGACGACGCGCTGGCGAATGGCGAGCGTTGACTGCGGCGGCTAATCGCAAGTGATAAGAGAAGCAACTGCAACCAGCTCGAACATGTTTGAGACAAAATAGCTGAAAAGTGCTCAAAGTCGACACCGAGAGACTGCAAAAGAGTGACAGCGAGATGGAGAGCGGGGGAGAATGCAAGGGCGAGAGAGAGCGGGCAAAAGAGAAAGAGAGAGAGAGAGAGCGAGCGAGAGTAAGCGAAGAGCAGAGAGTGTGCGCGCCAAATCCCGCACAGCTGATCGCAGGTCGCGAGTCCCACGCTGCGTATGCGCTACGCGAAACACCAAAAATGCCACAAAGATGGCCACAAAAGTAGGACACAGCCTAGAGCCGGAGCCGGAGTCAGAGTCACAGCCGGCAGCAGAGACTCGTGGTGGTTAGGTAAGAGGCAAGAGGAAGCAGCAGGCAAAACCACATCCGCCTCAATGTCAACGAGCGCCCCTCGTGTCCCACATTTTGAGATTTGGCACAGCAGCAAAAAGAAAACTTTGCCATATGCAAAACTAATGGAGAGTGCTGCAGCATTCGCAGCCGCTGCCGCACAAGGCGGATGTTGCAGCGACGTTTGTTGTTGTTGTTGTAATTTATGCATGCAAAGTTCATTAACATTTCGCAACGGGCGAGCGGGGGCCCCATCAAGCCGCAATCGACGGCGACGACGGCAACTGCTGCTGCTGCTGATGCCGCTGCTGTTGCCTTCACTTTATATAGAGATTCAAATGTTCTGCTTTCGCTCTACAACATTTCAGCAGCTTTAATAACATGTCCATGCCAAGCCCGCACGGCGCCCGCCCCCTCAAACGCTTTGCGCGCTCTCGCTCAGCTCCAGACCAACCTCCCCACTCCTCCACCGCTCGTTTGCTCTGTGTCGCTCAGAATCATTCGAAAATTGCAGATATTATAATATCCGTAGGAGTAGAAAGTTGGTAATCAATCAAGTGTAAGATAACTTTCGCTCTGCTTGCAAATTGTTGCAAGTTTTCTAGCAAGTTCGTTGCCTAAGTCTTTCGTATTTGCGGCCCGTGACAGTGAAAATTCCGGAAATTCATCAGAATATGGCTTACATGCATTTCACCCTAATAATTATTGTGTACACCATATTAATCACAATTTCTATAAATACTTGTCTCCATATGGAAATTATATCTTCTGAACTAAATTTGTATTTACTGAAATTTAATTTGAATTTGAATATTTAAGTTTTTAAGTTTAGGTTAACAGGCTGGGAATTCTAAAAGGCTTAACTGTGAAACTCAAATCAATATTTTAAAATATTATCAGATTTTTTAAATTATTTATTGTTTGACTTAATTTTTTTGAAGAAAGCCTTATGAGAACAAATAAAAACTTTGAAAAAACTTTAAAGTTGAAAACAGCCAAAGATACAAATAGATAGATAGATAAATGCATAGACATAGTCCTTATATCCAAATAATCCACATATTCTCGCCTAAGAAATATGTTCTCAGTATATGATGGTCAAAGCTTTTGTCAGGGCAGGGAACATTGTAACGTATAATTTAAGAATTTATATTTTTGCAAGTGAAAAGCGGAAAGAAAAAAGCTGAAAGAGGTGCCCACATGGCATGGGAATTATAATCTGCTTAATATATAAAACGATCATACATAATAAGACACACAAAATATTTTAGAATTTTTCAACCTCATTTTTTGCCTTACAGATAATTGCGTAGAATCAAAATACTTGCATAGAAAATAACTAAATCTAATTACTGAATAATATAAAAATCGACTCAATAAATGCACATGAAAATTTATAATTGTGTGTACTTACCTGCAACAGCATACAGCATACCATATAGATTATTGTACATTTCTCGATTTGTGGAGATTGTGAAGCTGGCAATTAATGCAGATTGAAGAGTGCGATTTGTGGCACACAACGTTCATATGCCACAAAGGGGCAGTGTGCGACTTTCGCCAGTTGCGTAGAGTGTACAGCGGCAACTGCAAAAACAAAACAAAAAAACAAAAACAAAAAAAGAAATAAATAAAATAAATAAATGAATTTCCCCAATTAAACTTAAGTTAAAATGACGATAGAAATTTCTTGGAAAAAGTCTACCTGCCAAGACCAAGCCAGACAAGCAGCCACCAGGCGGCAGCAGGCAGCCAAATGTCGCAAGAGCAAAAACGGCAAAAAATGGGAAGCAACTCGCGGTGGCAGCAGCTCGAAAATAAAAAAACTGCACAAAAAACCAAAACAAAACACAACTAAAATGGGTAAGCTTGCAGAAGGCGCATAAAAACCCAAACAACCAAGCAACTTGCAACAATCAACAAACAACAGCAACAACAACAACAACAATGATTGCAAATCATTGCCGCCAAAATCATGCAGTCAGTCATGGACGACGACGACGACGACAGCGGCGGCAGCGGCAACTGCAACGGCAGCGGCAACAGCAACGGCGACTGCGCGGCTGCGACTGCTGCATCCACTACTGACACACTGACTCCATGTTGCGGCAACTGTTGCATGTGCCTTATTGCAGTTGTTGTTGGCTTTTTTTTCGCAAATTTGTGACCATGAACGTGAAACAAAAACAGCAGCAAAGTGAAAAATAATTGATTCCGGAAGGAAACTGCCTCAACTGGTTTTCGCTTTAGGATTTGCGGATTGTTGTTGATTTCATTTAAGCAAATGGCGTCGCCAAGTTGCCGCTGCGCTGCAGCAACAGTTGCTGTCCGTTGTTGCACTTTGCATTTGGGTGTCGTAACAGTGAAATGGGCTGCCTTTCAGCAATTGACTTTCCGCACGGGTGAAATTCATCTTC